TGGGTACCAGCCACCATTGATTGTCATTCCACAAACAGAAGTTCCTATTCATGGAAGACAAGTCTGGTCTATAGAAGGGCCCCTCCTGTGAGCACAATTACACTTATGTGAATGGAACAACAAGACCACCCCTGCTCTGTATACCATAAAAGTCTAGCTATATAAGCAATACCCTTAGGGCTGATCTTTACTAGGGATGGAAGAAAATTTCTCTCTCTCTGTGTGTGTCTGTGTGTGTACAACATCCTTAGGGCTGATCTTTACTAGGGGTGGGAGAAAATTTCATTCCATTTGTGTGTGTATGTGTGTTTTAGGGATTCAGCAAATTTACCCAGTTCGAATCAATATGGAAGCAAATTTAGACTTCAGTATTCATATTTCTCAGATTTTTGCTGTGCAGTTCTCCACAGAGAACATTTATGTAGTGTATGTTTATTATTAGGGAAAGTTTAAAAAAATGCATATATTTGCGGGGCTGGAAATACAAAGTGCTTTATATGAAGGAGGCCTACTAGCTACTAATGCACTGTTAGGCAAAATTGAATATAGAAATATAAATCTTAGGTGAAATGTGCAAACAATGTAAATGAATTTTCACGGGGACTTCACTATGAAGAAATCCCACATTAGTAAAGAACGTATACAAAATTAAACATTAGAAAAATGGAAGACTAAGAGCATCAGAATTGATAGATTTCACCTTTCCTACATATAAGCGTACAATCTCTGTATGATTGGCCAGGCTATCACCAAATACTTACAGATAATCTGACTCTTAGTTTATTATATATGGATAGACATCTGTGTGTACAAAAGCACCATCTTGTGTCATTCATCATCTTTGTAATACATAGCACTGAGTAACTGTAATGCAAGGTGCAGAATCCTGAGAAACTAAGCATCATTTTTTAATTTTTTTTATAGATTGATGCTTGCCAATACTGTAGGAAAGAGACTGCAGTGTTGGAGCTAGTTACATTATGAACAACTTGCTGTGGAATGAGTATGACTGAACAAAGTAGTGCTGGCTTTGAAATTGAAGAAAAGTATGTAGGGAAAAATGGATTGGCACTCTAACCATACTGTCATTAATTCATTGTGTGTAAAAGTGAAAAGAGAAAGAAAAGAAGAGAAAATTTCACCAAAGATGTTATAGAGTTATATTGCCAAGAAAGCTTTGTGGTCTGATCAAAGTAAATAAAATAGAATGTGGCTGAACCGTGGAATGCTGTCATACAGGAGGTCAGTGACATTACAGTCAATATGTAGCAACCAACTGAATGTAAGATTGGAATGTAACAGCATGGATACAGTATGAGTTGTGTTTAGTTTGGAGCTTTGCAGATGACAGACTGGATTGAAACTGGACAAGAGTCACAAGAATAAGAAATGGTACCTAAGACAGAAGGTATATAACTTTTTTGCATGATTGCGGTGTATCCTATCTTTTAAGATGAGACACTGATGAGAAATAAATTCCTTTTTGAAATTTATTTTAAGTCACTCCTGTAGATCTTTATGAGATTCATGTCCTTCCACACTTGCAATTTTTTTTTTGCTATCCTTTAAATCTGAGATAAATTTTATGACTATGTAGATATCCATAACTCTAAGAATTTCTAAGAATGATGACTCAATTCTGGTTGTTCTCATGCTGTTTGCAGATCAGTCTTCCAGTGTCTCAGGCAGAGCGGAGAGTGGGCTTCACCATGTCTTGAGCTCTGTTCTGTTCCTTAGGCTGAGGAGGAACAAAAGAAATGTTCGAGAACCGCAAGGCTTATATGCACTGACCAACTAGGAGAGAAGTTCAGATCCTTGGTGCTTTGCAGCATTTGTGCAGATCAAGGGAAGGGAGATCATACTGTGTAATTTCAGAAATATAGCTGCTCTAATATTTAATGCATGGGGGCTTGAGAAATGAATTAGAATACATGTTACTTAGTCACCTCTTCTCCTGTCAAGCCCCTGGTGTGCACTGAAATGTCCTTGTAGCGTTCACCCTTATTATGTTAAGTAGTCGTGAATATTCATGTGGCAGGCTAATGTTGCTGAGAGGCGGAGCTGAGAGATATGTAATAAAGAGAGGTGGAGTCAGAGAGTCAGTAAGATTCAGAGTAAGAGAGAGAGTGAGAGAGAGTGGAGAGATAGAGTGTGGTATTTGGGAGATCTGAGGTGTGATTAGAGTGAAGAGAACTGTAATGACAAATAGAAGGTTGAGATTGATGATAATAGAAGTTGACTATGATTAATATTCAGATATCTGTAATTAATAAAAACATTTTATTTAAAAGACAGTGAAGTTTCGACCTGCATCTTCATCCTTCCATAATTAATGTTGATTTAGTGATCAACTGGTGGCAGCGGGGTAAAAAGGAATATTGGTTTGCCTTCGTGTGTTCTGTGTTTGGAGGGTCAGGCAGGGGCACGAGAAGCAAACGCCATAGTCCTTACATAGATGTGACAAAAACTGGAAAGAACAATGCTGGTTTTGATACAGACTCAGTTGTGTTCCACAGTATGAATTTCTTAATCTCATTTATTGAAATTGTTCAACTGCATTGAATCCTACCTGATATACAGTGTGTTCTAGCAAAGAGGTAAACTGATACATTTTTATCAAATGTTTGTGCAATTGAAGTAATTCAAATATGAGATAGATGTACTTACTGACAAAATAAATTAAGCCAAGAAAGATCTTTCACAGTGTTTCTTTTGAAAAATGCTCTCCACCTAACCTCTCAGTTTCCCCCAGATTTTTTTCCTATGGCAATGAGTAGCAAATTCTAGGAGAGGCAGCCAAATCATGAAAATAATTATACACTTGTTTACATGGAGAGTCAGGCTGTGGGATTATCAGCAGATAATGGCCTTAAACCAGTGTTAAGTGTCCATTGATCAGTGAGGACTAGCATGTAGAATGAATGAAGTGTATTGGTGCTGGTCAATATTTATGTATCAATATTTAAGCTGACAGACTACATAATGCAATGTATAACTCCAATAAGTATCTCATTGTAGTGGCATAAAATTGCAACCCCAAATTACCTCTGGTTAAGATACTAATACTGTACTTGCGTTTTTTGCCAGGAACCAGTTGTGTGACTTGGCATATAGCAAAAAATAAAAGTGTCAACTCCTTAATCAGCAACAATTTACCACTGCAGTTTATGTTGCTCCACCTACACTGGAATACATAAATAGTAGAATTCTGGCCATTTTGTCCTGTAAAGTCTTCTGCATTTCTCAGCCTTGAAGAATTGTACACTTCAAGCTCCACCTATTTTGAACATGTATGCAGATATAGGTAACATGCTTCCTCAGAAAACCCATGTCCCCTTTTTGTCATCAGGTGACCTTAAGTGCAAAATATGTCAATTCGAAGGCCCTAATAAGTCCCACAGCACACCTGACAACCCTACAAATACGTTAGCTTTTCCAGCTCTCTTGTACGCAAGATCTCTGTCCTATGGAAGGAGTGTGGATTTTTTTCCCCCTGCAAGGTGTGGTCACAACTGGACCCCCTGTGTTTGTCACAGGCAAACAATTTGTATTTTTGGCCTCTGAATAAGCATATCAGTTAGTTCCTACTTTTCTTAGAAGCTGAATGCTGTTGTTCATCTACATTTAGAGTATGGGACTGATTTGAGAACATATATATGGCATTGACGTGAAGGCTCTGATCACAATATTGATTCCACTTTCCTTTCTCAGTTACAACACATCATATTTAATGAGGTTTCCCTCTTCTGAGGTTGCCTGCATGCCATTCCTTCTTAAACTCGTTTTGCACAATGAGTGAGGGGGGGAAATGTCTGAAAAATCTGAAAAGATTTTCTGAAAAGTATATCTGAACGTTGAGGTGGAGGGTAAGGAACAATGTGTGAGGAATCTCTTTACTTGGGAGGAAGGCTTCTCTTCACCTAGTATCAACTTTGCTTAGAACCTGTGTTAGAGAAATAGCTCTGTTTCCCCCTTATTGCCATTGTGATAGCATTGACCTCTGACCTTTGGCATGACTCGAAACCAACACACCTCACAATAAAGACAAGAGAGGTGAATGTGTATTTGGCAGGGATTAAAAGATACTGTGATGAATGTTTATGGGCAAGAGGATTAAAGCAACAAGCACAGTTATGGGCCTGAAACTTATCCAGGTAACAGGCTTATAGATACGGGCCAAAGGAGCAGAGAAGGGGTGGAAGTCTGAGGACAGAAGAGACAAAGCAACTGGGGCAAATTCAAATGGGAAAGGAAGCTATCATGTCTTTCATATCCATTCTTAGGTTTCTGTTTATGAGAATATTGCAGTTTTGCATTTCATGTTAAAGGTTGCTTGGAAATAATAAACTTGCTACAAGTTTGAGTGAATTCTGTCTGACAAGTGCTGGCCTACTTATGTATCCTTTGAAGCCACATTTCTAAAGCCATCCCACCATATGTGGACATTCCAATAGTTTACCAATATTTCCAGTTTATTAGATTTCAGGAAATGCTGACACCTAATGGTGTCTGCTTACCTTCTTCCTCTTCTTTTCTCCTCCCCCATTTTCTTTTTCCTTCTTTCTTTCTTTGCTGAAGAAATCAGGTTGGAGTGGCACAATCTGTTCACATCCTTCTGGTGCAGTAATGGATTGTTCACATAATGCCAGCTTGCTTCCCTTTCGCTCCTCTCTGAAAGGTTTTGCGATTACAAAGGTCCTTACTAGTAAAAGATGGATGCACTGTAGGTCCCTGGCACATGCTTCAGAGCTCCAGAAACAGAAAAATGTACCGAGGGTAGTCAGGTACAAAGTTAGCAACTTAACTCTTCTAACTGTGGTGGGGAGGCATAGAGAGAGAGAAATGGGAGGAAAAAAGACATTTCTGAATGGCAGTCACATCGATCATGGAGCCATCTCCTGACTGCAACGGAATATTCTGACAACCTTTTCTTCTCTTAGTTTCCTCTGGTTTTTCATCTTATGCATCATTTGTTCATTTCTCTATCTTGTCTCTGTCAGCTCGTAAGCAGGAGATTATCAAGGTTACTGAGCAGCTGATTGAAGCTATCAATAATGGGGATTTTGAAGCCTACACGTAAGTTGTCATCCTTCCTCAAAAGATTTTTTACACATTTGTAAGTTTCCTAGGCATTTAGCTGCTTCAATACCACCGGTTAGTGGAGGAGGATGAATTGCTTTAATTTAATTCATTGGTAATTAATAAAATAATTTACACAATTGGCATACTGAAATCCCAGATGGCAAATCTGAGAAATACTTCTATTAGACATTTTTGAATTTGCTTTTTTATTTTTTTATTTTATTTTATTTCATTTTTGGACAATAGATCCCAAAATTCTTTATTCTGGGATTTATAAGTGACAGTCAGGTACTTTAGTATCTGGGAGATACTTGGGGAAAAGGCCAAAACTGCAGGGCTTTTGGGTGTAACTTAATCCAAACATCCTGTTCCTATCCCAGTGCTAGCTGAGGGCTTTTTTTCTGAACAGAAAACTAGGAAAGCTAGCCGTCAAAGCCTTCAGGTTTGAGTCTTTCCCCCAGGTGAGCAACATTTAGGAATCTGTCTGCCAGGTAGAACGCCCAGAATGGAAAATTATTGTATTTGTAGTCAAAAACAATCTGAAAATCCCATCTCTAGTCAAGAGCAGGATAAACGTATCTAGAGGGCACCAGATTGAAGGATGGGCTAGAGCAGTGGTTCTTAACGTGGGCGAAAATGCCCCCCAGGGGGCGATTTCATTTTTCAGGGGGGCAGTAGAACGTAAAGGGGCGGCGTGGGGACGCTGGAGCAGAAGGGGGTGGTAGGGGGCGCTGGAGCAAGCCAAACCTTTGAAGATGGCTGCAGCCTTTTTACAGTGTACATGAATATATATTTTCCTCCAATTTTAATTTAGTTTCAGACTTTTTGTCTTGAAATTTTTTTAGTTCTGCATTTGTTTTTATGCCCTTTTTATATTTCTTTTTGCGTCTTAAAATTCGCTCGCAACTAAATCATTAAATGTTACTTTTTTGGGGGCATTTCATTTTCTTGGAATTGAATTTTATTTTCAGGGGTCATTGGATTTAAGCGTCTTAAATAAATAAATAAATAATATATCATCATCGCGGAGAGGGGGGCGATGATAACTTCCTCAATGGCTCAAAAAGGTTAAGAACCACTGGGCTAGAGTATAACTTAAAAACCAGAAGTTTCTTCGGTGTGAACAATTTGTTTAGTTATATGTTCCATCCTCTTTCCAGAAACTAACCCATCTCTGGCACTGTCATATCTGTGTTCTTTTGGGGGGCTTTGTGCAGCTTTTTAATCCCCCCTTTTTTTCTTGTATCACACTTCAAGGTACTATTTTAAATATATTAAGCATATATAAACTGATGAATTGTCCCACCCCTACAGTGCTAGGAAACAATCTTTCCCTGAAAAAAATAACTAGATTAAATTCCATTCCCAGCTAAAGTAGACCTGTTGAATCAATGGGACTTACATAGATGTTCACCTAACGTCTTACTCAGTAAGTCTACTGTAGTTAATTATTTGAATAAACCCTTAAAGATTAAATATTTGTAGGATGTATCCTGCAAATAATCTTTTTGGTTTTAATGGGCATAATCTGAAGGTGGGCGATGCAGCAATCATGTTGGAAACTAGCCAGTTCTAGGCTTATTAGTTCTAGTATGAGAAACATCAAGAGAATTCGCTTAAACATTCTGCATAAGGGGTTAAAATGGGGGTATAATGCAATAATTAATCCTTTGATACTTGAAACAGAGTTGTCTGCTGCACTAGTATGATTTCTGTTCCACATTTTGCATTTCATTTTCCCCTTAACAAGCTTAGAGGTTTGAGTTTTCCTCAGTTCATTCCACAGTCCAGATGCTGAATTTCCTAACACATGGACTTCTAAACAACAAATGAAAATTTATTAGATACTGTAACGGCATCTGTGACCCAATTTTATATCAGTAGACATTGTAGCTGTACATAGTGCCATTTAGAGTCGAAGTATTTCTACAAAGGATAAATTTTTAAAAAATCTTGCTCATTGATCAACTGTTTACTGTTTTAATTAATGCAATTCCTTTTTCCAGACATCTTTTCCCATTTAAAAAGAATTTTCCTTTCATTTTTAATGCAGTGTTCAATAAGAAATGGTGTTGTGTATTTTCATCAAGAATTTGACTACTTGTTTCCTTGTTAACAATGTTTCCTCAGTTATTCAGACTCAGTTATTTGACAGAAACAGACTTTCATGTTTAATGTAAAACTCAATGTTCAGAGCAGTAATTTCACAGAATAGTCAGCTGTGGGATTATTACGTTTAAAAAGCAGGGAAATGTGAATTTCAAGAAGTAATTCTACTTGGAATATTAAAGACTATTATAACGTAAGATATAAATTATCCTTAGACTGGTGTATAAAAACAGCCTGACAAAATTCACAAATATGAATGTCATAGAAAAATGAATCAAAAATGGCCCTAGTAATGTCCCCTATGTACGTTGGACGCTGGTTGTTTCTTTACAACCCCAATCCTGCAAAACATTTACATTTAGTCAGACCCTACATGGTGTCCTATGGGATACATAGATGTATTTAATAATTGGGGGGGGGAGAGAGATCAAATGAAAGTGCCAGTGGTATGAATTTAAACCACCCCATTATCTCTGTGATGATCTCAGGATCCTGAGCCCAGCCCTAACAGGAGGCAGAGTGAAGTCCCAAGCAGCAGGCAATTGCTGGGCAGAGGGGCATCCCAACTGTTCCTCTTTGTTGAAAGGTGGGGTGGGGTGTGTCACGAAACCACTAAACTAGTGATTGACTCAGGGGAAAATGGAGGACAGAAACCCCATCATCAGTGAGGAAGTGAGATTCAACTTCCACAGTGAGGTTCTGCATTTGACCTAGGGTAGGAGCATCTTCTTGACCTTTATCTCATGCAGCAAAACTTATTAAATCAGCCCTGCAGCAACTCACTTCCAATTTTCCTCAGCCATGGAATTTGCTGCCATCTTTATTGGCTTGCAGACTCACTAGTGGCCTTGCCAGGTGTAAGACAAGAGCCCTCTGTAAAAAAATAAGTTGTCATTCACCATTAAATGTATAGTTATTTGAGATTGTTGAAGTCAGGCTATAAAGCTCAGTTGCACTTTAGCATAGTTTGATGAGGTCTCTTCAGAAAAAGACCTGCCAGCACACCAGTTCATGAATCTTTCACCTACATTTGTATTGCTGCATCAAAGCTGTATTCATTTTTTCTTGCCGTACAGGAAGATCTGTGACCCAGGCCTTACCTCATTTGAACCTGAAGCTTTGGGAAATCTGGTAGAGGGAATGGACTTCCACCGGTTTTACTTTGAAAATGGTATGTTTCTCCTGTCGTTTCTGTGTTTCATGTTAGTAATTTAAGGTGGTTGTTACAAAGCTGCGCATCTCGTGAACCACAGATCAAATAGATTAAGATATCGCTTACAGGCACCTAATAACGTTAGCTGCAGCCTTTAAAAACATGGTATCACTGTTACGTCATACGTGTCCTTTGATCTTTTTTAATTAATTAATTAACTTGTATGCTGCATAATTAGTGAGAACCACTATTCTGGTGGTCTATCAGATGTGAAATGGATCTGGTCATCCCCCTGAGCACATCACAAAAGCTCAAGAGCTGGCATTGTCACCTATTTTATGTGGTCAAATAGACCATAATTCAAAAGTTTAGTAACCCCAGAACATTCATGTACCAATTGAACGAACATTCCTTGGGCATTTCTCTAGGAACAAAGGAAGCTGCCTTTATTGGGAGGTTAGGCTATTTCTCAATCTTATCCAATGTTTTCCACTCTGTTTCAGTGGCATTCCATGGTGTGAGACCCCAGTCTTTCATATCACCTGTTAATCTGATTTTTTTTAAAAACTGGATATTCCAAGGATAGAGTCTGGGACCTCCTTCATGCACAGGAGGTACACTCCTGCTGAACGATGATTCTCCCAGCGCCAGATGACATAACAAAATATGCATAAGGGGTGCTATTTAAGGAAGATAGAGGTGCTAATTTCCCCAGCAAGACTTCTTGCTTTTTTCAGATGTTGATGAATGTGGCAAATGAACACACATAAGGAGAGTACGGTGGCATTAGAACCACAGGTTCTGTATGCACTTGTTTCAATGCCTGAAATTATACAATTTCCCTTTTCCAACCAAATTGTTGATTTTCCTGTGCAACAGAAAACAAAAGTAAAAGTGCTGTTGTAGTTAGTCACAGATTGAGGCTTACATCTATGGTACTTGTTTCATGGTTTTGCCATATCAAATCAAATCAAATGAATTTATTGTCATTGTAAGTCTATACATAGTATACACATCCAACGAAATTCATACAGACACCCAGAGACCAGACCCACATGTACACACATAAAAAATCCCCAAACACTCTTCACCCACTAAAAATCCCCCACTAAAAATACAAACATCTACACCGCAGGCTAAGTAACACTGTCCAACTGTATTCACTACTGATGGTCTTTAAGTTCATTATTAAGTGCAATTATAGCTCTGGGATAAAAACTATTCAGAAAATGTGTGGTCCGAGTCTTAATTGTTCTGTATCTTCTGCCAGATGGCAACAGTTCAAAGAGGTTGTAAGCAGGATGGGAAGCACAAACATTTAGTGCCTCCTCAGAGGTCCTCCTAGTCTATCTATGCTTGAATATCCAAAGACAATTCACTGTATAGAGAGGAAGATTGGGGATTTCGGAGCCAAGTCATTGTGTTCAGAACTTAACTAAGAGAAAAAGATTGTCTTTTTCTTCTAACATGAATTTGCCTCAATCTGCCCATTTGGTAAATTAGCTTGCTTTTGTTTTGTAAGTGGTCACTTGGGTGACAGCATGGTTTTGTTGGCACATCTGCTGTCCCAAGCATGTAGCACTGAAAGTTGTGCATTCCTTGAAGAACAGTGCTGTAAGAGGAGCGAATACGCATTCAACTTATATGTGATCTGGCCCTTAGCAGGTCTGCATGTCCAGTGGTGGCATGATGAGAAAAAATGGGAAGTAGTACCATGTCTGGATAGCTGAGTGAGTTAGATTTGTGACTGCTGAGCCAGAGACTGGGAAATCAATTCCCCGTTGTGCATCCCAGAAGAGCCAGCCTGTGTGTCCTTGGGCAAACTACACAATCCCAAAAGAAGGAAATGGTATATCACTTTTGAATACTCTGTACCTAGAAAACACTGAGAAACGTACAGGTTGCCATAAGTTGTAATTGACTTGATAGCTCGTAATAATGTATTGTACTGGATGAGCAGATTTTTTTTTCTTTTTAAAAAGGTGTATTTTGATTTTGTAAAAAAAAAAAAATAATAGTATTACCATATTTGCCAGCATATAAGATGACTTTTTTGGCCCCCAAAAAGATGCCTCCAAATGGGGGGGTCGTCTTATACGCCGGGTGCACTTCAGTTGGGCCAGGAAGGAGCCACCGCCGTTGAGTGACGCGGGGCTGTGCCAGTCGGGGAGGAAGGCAGGCAGGCGGTCGGTCCGGACGGAGGGAGGGAAGCAGAGCCGGCCTTGCCTGAGCGGCCAGAGCCCGCCGCCCTTCCAGCGTCATATCTTTTAGCCTTTTGTTTCTGATCATGGGGCGGTCTTGGCAAAGATACTGGAGTGGCATTGCCAGTTCCTGCTCCGCCGCTTCCCCTCCTCCTCTGCTGCTGCCACCCGCCTGGCCGCTTCCCCTCCTCCTCGCCCTCCTCCTCTCCGGCTGTGAACTTCCAGGGCAGGCCGGGCAGAGCCCCGGGCAGCCGCCGCTGGCGCCACCCCAGAGCCGTCCACTCTATATTTTGAGTGGAAATGTTGGGGGATAGTCTTATACGCCCAGTCGTCTTATACGCCAGCAAATATGGTAGGTATTGCTCATGGGGCCAGTGGATTCACAGATATATATCTCTGTCCAACAAAGTAATCTGTGTCCTATACATATTTCTCAGACTAGTGGTAGCTTCAGGAAAGAAGAAAGAAAACTTATCATAATGTAACATTGCACTACTTTGTGAACAATCCAAAGAAAGTTAAGTATGTTTATAGTCTGGTCAGTTCATCATTAAATGATCAGGTTTCTTTTAGGGAATTTCTAGGCGTGCAAAAATTTCTGCCGATTGCATCCTGCTGTGTATTGTGAATGTTATACAATGTTCACTTTTTTCTCTATAGCTCTGTCAAAAAGCAACAAGCCAATCCACACGATTATCCTGAATCCCCATGTCCATCTTGTGGGTGATGATGCTGCCTGCATTGCATATATACGGCTGACTCAGTACATGGATGGGAGTGGAATGCCCAAGACGATGCAGTCGGAAGAAACAAGAGTGTGGCACCGCCGTGATGGGAAATGGCAGAATGTTCACTTTCATCGTTCGGGATCACCAACAGTACCTATCAAGTGAGCTGATTCTCATTGTCATATTCCTGCCTCATTGTAGCTGCTCTGTTTCGTATGATACATACCGCTTTACCCATTCCAACAGAAAAAACACTAATAGTGGGAGTTTGAACCACTCTTCTTTTATAAATCTCATACATAGGCTTTATCTATTTATTTGTTTGTTACTATCCCAAAAGAAGAGGAGGATCTGCATTTACAGTATGACCCCTGTATCTGCAGGAGATGGGTTTCAAGCCCCCTGCAGATGGTTAAACCATGGTTAGTATTGAACTCATTAAAGAGAGTGGGGGAGGGTGAGAGAAGGAAAGAACTGTGGATGTGCGGATTGTAGGCTGGGTTTCTGCAGTGGCCACCAAAGATAGCTGAAACAGTGGATACTAATTTCACAGGTACCAGGTTCCTCCTGTACATTATAATGTACATTTTATATCCTGCCTTTCCTGCAAGGAGGTTATTTACCTGGTCTTACGTATCATTTCTATCTCTTTATGTGACATGATGGACTTGGGCCATTTGAGTGATTATCTACAGATCTAACATTGTCACTGAGGGACAGTAATGGGTTTTATTTTACTCTTTCCCCTTTTCCCTTTAGATCAATGGTTCCCAACTTTCAGTCTCCAGATGTTCTTGGACTGAAACTCCCAGATGACTTCACCACCAGCTGTGCTAGTCAAGATTTCTGGGAGTTGTAGTCCAAGAACAACTGTGGACACAAGGTTGGGAACCACTGCTTTATATGTTTGACTGTTTGTGATTCAGTTATATTTCTATTTGCTTCAAACGTTGCTGATGGCAGATCTTAATAGGTTGCACTGAATACTTTTCCAAACAAAAACAAAAACCCACAGTTAAAAAAAAATTCCCATAAATTCAGCTGAGGGGAAATGACTGATCCATGCCTATCCATGTAGTTTCACAAGATATTTAACTTTGGTCTCCTTAGTCCAAATCCATTGTACCAATTATTGGGGATGGGGGAGTCTTCCTAAAATATCCAAATAAATAGTAATGACTGACTGAGAGGTTTTTCTAAAAATATATTGCTGTGCTTTGTTGCTTTTTAGCGTGTTTTTAGAATTGGTTTTATTTACTGTTTTTAATATCATGTCTGTTTAATTTGTTTAAAATATTTGTATGCTTTGTATATTTTTAAAACATTTTTAATTATATTAAGCCACCTTGGGCCCTTTTTTTAAAAGGAGAAAGATGGGATAAAAATATTTAAAATCAATCAGTAAATAAGCGGAGAAAGCTATTACACCTTGTTTCACTTCTTAGCTTTCCCACTATGTATAAAATCAGCCGTTTGAAACATGGCAACTGGTGTCTTAGAATTTGCACTGATGGATCCACATAAATTGAAGATCAGCTCTGTGGATTGTTTTCAATAAATGTTCCTAATACTGATTAATTTGGCTCAGAAATCGGCCACAATTTCTTTTATTTAGTCAACAAAATGAATCAAAATCTGTAGCGTCCATCTGTTCCACAGCTTCTCTCCGCTTAAACAAATGATTAACTATCTAAGCCTTCAGAACAAAGTAGCACACAATTATTATCTCAGGAATGGAGAGGGAGCTTTGAAGGGAGAAAGCCAAGGGAAGACTAGATCGCAAGGAGACTAGAAGTTGGAGCTCTGTAGTGCTTTTGGCCCAAGATCAGAAATATTGTATTAATTTAATGAAAAATATCTGCATTCTGGAAACAAAAGACTGCCTTGAGCGGGTTAGTGGCAGAGAGATTGGTTTTTATTTTCGTCTACTCTAGGCCACCCTGAGTACATTAGTGGGCAGTAAATCAATAAGTAAATAAGTAACAGTTTGAAGAATGAACTATTGAGTAGTTATTAGCTCTTCATAAAAGCATCCAAAGAATAAAACTTCATTTACAGTTGCATCTTTTGTTACCAAGCTCAGAGAGTAGATATGTACACTGTTGGAGGTGCTTTTATTGATCTGCAGGTTGAAAGGTTTTTTGTAGTTCCTTTCTCCGAAACTCCTTGGTTTGGAGCAGAGAGTGATTCCATGTAATTAAAACCAGTGGAGGAGCAGAGGCATAGTGCCATTCTCTAAGAGCCATCTGCTTATGCACACTGAGATGATGTGTGCAATTTAGAATGAGCCCCGAGACCTCTAGTGTTTTTACTTAGAAAACACAGGGTCCCTATTTCCAGGAGGTTGTTAGCTGGATTGCTGTATAGACTTGGGTATTTGATTATGTATGCATGCAGAAGCACATAGGCATGTACTGTATGCAAAAGTGTAATACTTAGAGAGAGAATAGCATCAGATTAGGGCTGGTAAGTATCCAGAACTCACTGCCGTCACTTCCTCTGCATTGTGGATAGTCATTTGCAGCATGCTCAGAATTGATACTGACTGACAAATGTTATTATAGAATCCCGTTGCAATGTGGTGGTCCTTCCAAATAAACAATTCTGTCCCTGCAATTCTGTTATTTAGTATAGTAAGTCACAACTAGAGTAGACCCATTGAATTAATGTAACATATGGAACAGATAACTCTGTATTCCAACCCCTACTGATTCAGTGGGCCTACTTTAGTTGTGATTTACTGTGCTAAGCAAAAAGATTTCCGCCTGTATGTCATCCTTCTATGTGGTCACATAAAACCAAAGTGGAATCTGTGGTTTTAATGTTAACAATATTCTCAAAACTGCAGAAAGAGACAGTTACACTTAGAGGCATGAATAGAGTAAGCTTGACAGATTTGGGACAGCACAGGATGCTATGCTTCTGCGTGTGCAAGAAGATACTTCTATGGACTTCTTGTTTCTGCACGAGTCTGAGAGACACATGGGATTAAAATATTGAATCTGTCTGAACTACTTTAGACATAGGTCTGACTCTCCACTGTAATCCTGTTTTTATGAAAATAAACGGAAGGACTTTATAACCGATTCAAACCTGTACTTTGATCTTCTGATTGCCATGGGTTTTTCTGAAATATGATCTGAGAGAAGTTGCTCCTGGACGACCCGCCTGTAAAAGAATGCCAAATGGCCCAGTATAGCTGTAGCACATCTGGATGACTAAACTATAGCTTAGCAACCTGGGAATAAGCACTGGTCCCATGCATTCCTCCCCGTGAACTTCACTTATTTCCTGCCTTGCTATATTAAACTGTGAATTAAGGATAGTTTCCTAACCACCATACTAAGCTGTGGTTTGAGCGTGGTTTAAAATCCCGATTAGTAAACCAACATTAAAATGACGTTCTCCATTTTTCATGTAACAGAAAACTGCAGTTTAAGCCAAAAAACATCAGGATACTAGGTCTGGGGTGCAAGTGGACTTGAGGGGAAGGGACGCACGGAGGCCCAATGTTTGTTGGCACTTCCCTAAATGCTGGTCCCAAAGGGCTCAGTCTCTGTCCATGTAGTTTAAATGAGTAAGTGTAGTGTGAGAGGTTAAGTTGTATATTGTGGTAGTGAGAAACACTCTATGACATGCGATTGTGTGGCTCTAAATAAATCCCTGTGCCAAAACAAAGTAGTAATAGGTGCTGGTTTGCTCTCTCTTTCTCTGAAGACTATCACTGACCAGCGCTCTATGACATGAATGTCATACTCTGCTGATTAAAACTGCTCATACATAACTCAAAGGACTTCCTACTTAATTGAAAAAGTGACATTTTGCAGTGGTTTGACTATGAAAGCCGTAAAAATGTGTGCTTACCATTCAGCATGGCTTAGATCATAGTTCAGCACTTCGGAAAGTCAGCTGGAATAGTTGTTCAACAAATAACTAAACTACCCGCTCTGCACATGTGACATGAGCAAGACAGAACTTATTTTGCTCTCCTGAGGACTGAATTCCAAACAGATAATCTGCCAATACTCTGGCACCCACAGGGACCTAGTATTTTAAAGATGCACTTGTTTGGAGTGCTCTTGTTACTGCTAGTGTGGCTCCTCCTCTTTCTTCTGCTAGTCATAGAATCATGGATTAATTGAGTTGGAAGATGTGTCTAAGGCGAGTAAGTCCAACCCCTTGTGGCTGGGTAGAGTTCGTTGACCTTTTGCACACTGTCTTTTTCAGAGCTGGGAGCCAGGTTTTGTTGAGTTTCAAGCTTTCCTCTTTTTTGTTGAAGTTCTGCTGGTGCTTGTGGATTTCAATGGCTTCCCTGTGCAGTCTGACATAATTATTGCTGGTGTTGTCCAGTATTTAAGCATTTCGAAATAGAATTTCATGTCCAGCTTGTTTTAGGGCATGTTCAGCTACTGCAGATTTTTCTGGTTGTTTTAGTCTGCAGTGTCTCTCATGTTCTTTGATTCTGGTGCAAGATCAGCACCCTGGACAACACCAGCAATCATTATACTGGAAAACACCAGCAATCATTACGTCAGACTGCACAGGGAAGCCATTGAAATCCACAAGCACCAGCAGAACTTCAACAAAAAAGAGGAAAGTTTGAAACTCAA